TGCTGCCCCAGTCCCCAGCTGACCCTGGCACAGGCCCCAGAGTCATCCTCCCCAAGGGAAACCCATGACCAGCAGCCCCCCAAGGTGTGCCCCACCCAAGAGGGTAGGAGAAGAGCAGGTCCCCCACCCCACAGCCGCAGCTCTCCCTGGCTGCCGGGGAAGCTGCGCGACCTGTGCCCAGGGTCCATCTGGCCTGAAAAGTAGGCTTTTTGCAGAATCTTTAAGGATATCAGAGAATTCTCACTATAGAGTGAAAAATAGCATGTCGACTTTGCTCAACAGGGTGTTCCCAGTTATTTAATGCTATGTATCTGTGAACACATGGACAAAATCCTGGTAGGAAGGACCCCTTTGTTCACCATGGCTGCCTCTGGGCGGTGGGACCACACGTGCCCTTTCTCTCCTCAGTTTTTCTATCTCCCAAGTCTAACCCGGTGAGGATGCACCATTCTTAACATCAGAAGAATTCAACGAAACTTACTTGTCTCCATCCTAGGGAGTTTGCGGGGGATGGGGGTGGGGAGGAGTCTCAGTCCTAGGAGAGATCTCAGAGCCACAGGCCATTCTGGAAGCTAGAAACAGGCAGGCTAAGGGCAACCCCCCCACCCCACCCCACCCCAGCTCAGTAAGCTGCTTGGGCCTCAGGGTCTGGTTTACTGGGCTCAGGTCCCCCTCCAGTCCTTCCAGGCCCCGGCAGGATGCTTCAGCTGGCACGGCAGCCTCTGCAGTGGGCAAGAGGCCAGGGCGGGGGCGGCAGGATGCTGAGGCCAGGCTGACTGCTGGGGAAGCAGCGACGCAGACGGATGGGCGGGCGGCTTTGGGCTATAAGCGAGGAGCCCCTGGGGGTTAGGGGACTGCTCTGGAGCCTGGGCACACGTGGCCACCGAGGTCTCTCTCCCGGGCACAAGGGGCAGCCAGGGCCTGCCTGGCTCGCTTGCACAGGTCCCCTAAGAACCCTGTCCTGGATGATACAGAGTCAAGAGAGCTGATGCCATCCCGTTCTCATGATCCAGAGGAAGGTGAAGGGAGGGGAACCCAGGAGTGTCAGCGGGCACAAGGCCCCAGGGAAGACCTCGGCTGGGCCAGGCTGGGGTCTGTAACTGTCGGTAACAGTAACAGTCCCCCCCATCACGGACTCCTCCTGTGCTCTCACTCCGCCCCTCCCTTCTCTAACCCCTTCCTCCTCTCTGATCTCACTCCCCTCTACTGAGCCCCCCTTCCTTCTTCTAACTCCTCTCCACTCATGGTTGCCCTCCTTTCTCTGAGTACCACCTCCCTGAGCCTCCTCCCCCTTCCTGAGCCTCCATGACCCACGGAGTTGCCTGCCTTCAGCCGGGGCCCTCCTCCTTTCTCTCCTCAATCCCTTTCCCCTCTCGCTGAGCCCAGATGTTGGAATTGAGAAGGAACTCCCCCATGTCTTGCCTGGCTGCTCCTCCCCCAACACAGCCTGAACCAGAACCATGGCCCTACCAACCCACTCCTCCGGCAGGGCTCTGCCTCCTTTCTTTAGAGCGTCAGCTGCAAAGTCTCTTCCTCTTCCCAACACTCTAAGAATGAGCCTCCACCACTGTACCCCGGCTGCTCCCCTGGATGTAGGACCCATGTATATGTGTCCTGGTGGGGCGGTGGGGGTTGGGGTTCCTAGGATTTTGTGAACAACTCCGGGAGGAGTGTGGAGAGCATCTTTAGTGTCTTTGCAGGTCACCTCAAATCTTGGGCCGGGAGGGCTCCATCCTGGCTCGGCCATAGAAGCACAATCTCCTGGTGAGCCACTGGGCCTCTTCCAGCCACATTTTCCTCTTTTGAGTCAAGACCCCAGGTTTGTAGTTAGGAGGAATGTGGGTGCATGGGCTAAGTCGCTTCAGTCATGTCCAACTCTTTGCAACCCTATGGACCATAGCCTGCCAGACTCCTCTCTCCATGAGATTCTCCAGGCAAGAATACTGGAGTGGGGTGCCATGCCCTACTCCAGGGGATCTTCCCAACCCAGGGATAGAACCCACATCTCTTATGTCTCTTGCATTGGCAGGCAGGATCTTTACCACTAGCACTACCTGGGAAGACCCTAGGAGGGGGATGGGTGAATTTTAAATCTCAGTTCCAATGAATAAACCTAACCTTCATACACTGGGGATGGACTCTATCTCTGCTGATGGAACCACAGGCTTCCTGACACACAGATTTATGGAGCAGAGAGATCTTAAAATCTTAGTGCTGGCAGGGCCTTCAGTGGGGGGCCGGGGGTGGGGGTCATCTGGTCAAACCCTTTTATTTTATGGTGAGGACACTGAGGCCTGGAGACAGGAAGGGGCCTGTTCAAGCTCACACTAGGAGGAGAGATGGGCCCAGAAGGAAGATCCTTGAACTCCATCACATGCCCCTCTCTCCCGTCCCCCCATCCAACCCCTGCCAACCCCCAGTGCCCTGGCTGGTCCTCACGCAGGAGAGCCTGGGGAATAGAGCAGAGTGGTACTGTGGGAGCTACGCTGGGCCCCTGAGGCAGTAGCCTAGGATTGCCCTGAGACCTTGCTCTGTGACCTTGGGAACATCACGTCCCTTGCAGGTCTCATTTTGCTCCTCTGTGAAAGGGAGACGGTGGCAGCTTTGGCACCCGGTTATGTGAGGATGAAATGAGATAATGCGTGAGAAGTGACAGGCCTGTGGCAGGGGCTCAGAGTGTGTGTAGGAGTTAAGGAAGGCGGTGGGGGGGCTCTCCCCCATCACCTCAGAGGCACCCTGGCTGGCTGCTGGGACCGGAGGAGCTACAGTTCTGCCCCACCGGCAGCAAGAAGCAGGCAGAGGAAAAGGCCGTGGGGGAGGCCAACAACAGCAATGCTGGCAGTTGCTCTGGACCATGGCCTCATCACAGGGGTGAGGGCTAACCGCCCAGAGAGGAACAGGCGGCCACCAGCTTGCCGAGGTCAGCAAGAGGCTGGCAGGCAGAGAAGGTGAGAGTGGGTGGGGCGGTGAGCAGATGGGCCTACCAGGCCCAGGCTCCCCCTCTGGCAGCTGTGGTGGTGGCAGGGCTGGGTTGTGATGGGGGCACCCAGCTGGACAATTCAAAGCACGTTCCACCTCCAAATATCCCAGTGACCTTGGGGGAGTCGGCTCCTCACTGCATCACACCTCCTCACCCATACACCTCAGGCTTCTCACCTGGAAAGCTGGCATCATGAATCAAGAAACTGACATTTAACTGGGTCTTGATATCAAGGGGCCATGACAGGATATCAGCTCCACTCCTGTCCCAGGGAAGACAGCTTGGGTGGCTTCATGACCTTGTGAAAGTCATTCAAGTCTCATTTCTCAGTTGTGAAATGGGGACATTGATGGCTTCCTTGTTAAGTTTTCACGAGGATGAACTGAGTTAACTGTAGCCTAGTATGGAGCCTGGTATGAGACCCTAAGCCAATGTCTACCCACTCTGAGAAAAGAAAGATGTGCTTCAAACAATACTAAAAACATTCCCCCCTTTTTGTAGCTCCTCCTTAAAAATTCTTACTTGTGTTTGATTTACTAAAACTTGCCCAGCATTGTATAGCTTAAAATTAGTTTCGTATCCAATAAATAGTTGAATTATTTCTTTGACCACCAAAGTAGATGCTGTTAACGCTATACCTGTTTTACAGATTGGGAAACAGGCTCAAAAAGGTTAAGTGGTTTACCTGAAGTCACACAGCTTAGATGTGAACCCATATCTCTCACACTTCAAAGTCCATGACTTTCTACCCACTCAACTCCACCTTTTAAAATCCAAACCACTCTTTATTCACTCTTCAGGAATTCCTCCTCCATTGCTCACAGGAGAGTGGGATGGGGCATAAAGTTAGGGAACTGAAAAGCTGATGTTGTGTGGGAGCAATTTCTGAGCCGGCTTGGTCCTATTTCTGGCTGGGTAAGGATCTGACACCTGCTGAGACCATGACCTTAAGATGCCCCCTCTACAGAGAAATTCTCCAAACCCTGCTCAGGTCTCCATCGAAGCACCTGCCTTTTCTCTTGTCATGGGACAAAAGGTCAACCCAGGCCCCTTGAGCCAGAAGTGGATGAGTGAGTGAGGTCTTGGGAAAGGGAGAAGTTATGGCTGGGATACAGCACAGACACTGGAGTACCAGGTCAGACCTGGGTGCCCTTCTCTTGCTCCCCTTCAAACCCATCCCCACAATGGACCTGCCACCAGGAGCAGGGACTGCAGGAGGCTTCACACTGTCCAGGCAGGAGCTCCGGGAGGGAGGGGGAGGGGGAGGCAAGAAAGAGGCTGCGTCTCTTCTCTCTCTCTCTTTCTCTCTCTTTAAACCAAGAATTTGTTTTGGGGTTGGTTGGACTCACTGTGAGCCCCCAAAACCCTCCCTGGGAACCCAGAGAGACCACAGAGAACCCCCCCAAAACTCCTAATGGTTATTATCTCTTCTGTGTCCTTCATTTTCTCCCCAGTGAGAGAGTAAATGCCATCCTGTGTGAGACCCAGTTCTTGTTGCCAGCTTCTGCCTCCCCAGGGGCATTTGGGCATCTGGGAAAGGGGCCAGACTGTCCCTGATGCTGCCACCCTGTGCTGGACAGAGGCCCAGCACTCAGGTGGGGGCCTGCTCCCTTCATCCCTCCCAGTGACCAGCATCTCCACAGAGTCTCTTCACTGGTCTTTCCCTTCCCTAGGGAGCAGGTCCTTCTTCTCAATTGCAAGAGGGCAACTGGACTGAAGTTGGGTGCCTCTCTAGCATCCTTATGGACCAGGCCGTGGTCATTTAAGCTCAGTGGAGTCCTGCCCGTGACCCGGCAGGGTTCTCACTTTCTCCATCCCTCTCAGTGGAATGAACAATGTTCCTCATCTCTGCTCCCCAGGTGCCTCGCACCCCCCGACCAAACACACAGACAGTCCCCCACCCGCTACCGTCCGCTCTGGGTTCCGTGGACTCTGGGCCCTGGCCCAGCTGGGGAGGCCCAAGAGCCAACCCAGCCCCAACCCCTCTGGGAAATGCCCCCGCCCCAGCCTGGGCTCTCACCTCCCTGCTGACTGCTGCTCTCCGCCGGGTGCTGGAACCAGGCCCTCTGGTCCCGCTTGTCTGGGTGGCCTCCGGGCCGCCTCCTCGGCTCGGCTAGGCTCGGCAGGGTAGCTCCACGGCCCCCGCGGCCCCGCGCCCTCCGTCTCCCCGCGGGCGCCGCCGCCGATTGCTGAAATGCTGGACAGCGCACCACCATGGAGGCGGCCTCCCAGCCCGCCGCTTGCAGGCCAGAGTAGCCCAGCACCTACAGCGCCCTCCACAGGCCTGGAGGCCGCCCGCAACCGAGTCAAGGGACTGGGCGTCTGTCGTGGAGGAGGGCGTTGGGGGAAAGAATCTCCACGGCAGTGACCTGTTCCACGACTTAGGGGTCGGGGGTGGAGCAAGAGATCACGCTGGGATGCCCCCTTTCATCATGCATCCTGGTAGCCTGACCGAGTCCAGGCGAGGTGGTGGGAGACATTCCAAAGGAGGGAGATTTTTGAGAACGGAATCGCTGGACCTTCTGTGGTGCTGCGTTGGCTGTCTGGAGTCCTGAGTTCAAGTCCCCCTTTGGTTACTCTCTTCGTGACCTTGGAAGCCTGTCGTCCTGCAGCGCCCACCTGCGTTTCCTCTGCTGGACAGTGAGCCGGCTGAGTGGAGGGAATTCAGGGGTGGGGCAGACTCTGCAAGGAGCATTGGAAGCACAGAGACCTTTCTGTCGTGGGAGGAGGCCAGGGAAGACGTGGCGTTTGCTTGGAGCCACGAGCAGTGACCTTGTGCTGTCTTAGGAGGCAGGGCTGAAGTCCCAGAGCAGGTCGGAGGCTGCAGAGGGACGGGGTGAGGCAAGGGAGGCACCTGGGGTGCAGATTATAAGAAGGCCTTTGCGGGACTTCCCTAGTGGTCCAGTGGTTAAGAATCCGCCTCACGGTGTGGGGGACCTGGGTTTGATCCCTGGCTAGGGAACTAAGATCCCACATGCCTTGGGGCAGCAAAGCAGGTGTGCTGCACCTAGAGGCCGCGGGCCACAATGGAAGATCATCGTGCTGCAACTAAAACCCGATGCAGCCAAAATTTAATAAATATTAAAAAAGAAGAACACTTTGCATGACCCTGAGAGTCATCCAAGTAAATGTTTGTTGTGAATCTTACAAACCCATCTGTATATATGTGTGTGTCTGTTTCTATATTCCGTCTGTACCCTCCTCCCCTCCCCTCTCCTTTCCCGCAAGTTTCTTCACCTACTGTATGTCTTTGGAGTGTATGTTGGGGTCTGTGTGTGAGTGGTTGGGATCCGGGCACTGCAGGCCCATTGGGTCTGCAGAACAAAGCTTGGGGGTGGGGGAGAGGGATGGGCTACAGCTGCTGCCGCCAGTACTGCAGCCTCATAGCCCCAGGGGCGAGTCCTCTGCTGCTCTCCTGCCTTCTGGCTGCATGAATATTTCATATGCTGGGGCCTTGAGCTGGCCTAGCACCAATGTGTTTGCTTCCCCTGCCTCGGAGGGGGCTGCCCCCTTTTGCCTGGCGGGGACTCCCAAGACAGAGCTAGGAGTAGGCAGATCAAGGGCTGGGAGAGGGCCCCTTGCCTGGGGAGCATGGCTGGGTGTGTGGAGGGGCGAGGGTGAAGGAAGCCATAGGAGGAACAGGGGGGCGGCACCCTCCCGGGCTAAAGCCAGTGCCTTAAATGAAGTCACGTTAGTATTTTGAAATGTCACTGCACTGATTCGGTTCCTGACCAGCCCCAGCCTCAGCTCTGTTTGGGGCTAGTGCCTGGGAACACACTGCCCCAAGCTGGGCACCCCTCTCCCTGCCCCCTCTCTTCTGCCTCTGCAACCCTGCCCCGTGGATTCACAGTGGGAACTGCTTTAGTGAGAAGGGCGGAGGGGCCTGCAAGCTGGCTGCAGGCAAGCGTCCCCCGCTGCCTTGGGCCCTCTTTTCTACCATACCTGGGATGAGGGAGCCCTGGAAACCTAGGCAGCCTCTTAGCCCGAGTCGCCCCCTCACCCTTTGTACCCCCATGCCCTGGTTCAGAGGAATAGACCTCTGTCTTGGTTTCCCTACCAGCCTGCCAGTTTTCCAAAAGGAGCTCCTTCCCTTGTGCTGCTTATTTTGTCCGTGGCATCACCATCTGCGCTTTTCCTCCGCTTGCCCCTCTGGTCCCTGCTTCTCCTTCTCTACCCTCTTCTGGGTCTTGGGAGGTTGACCTCTGCAGATTGATTACCAGGTCCCCTTCTTGGCTACCGATTGGGTTCATCTGAGGGGAAACATCACTAGCAGAACGAAGGGTGGGAGGAGAGAGGTTAGGTGTTTATTCCCCTGCCCAGTTCCTCTCTAGCTCTGGTCCAGCATCCCCACATCCACTGCTCCATTTTCCTGGGCAAGCTCTGGCATTAAGTTTCCTCCCGGTGGCACTTCAGGCCTGGAGGTGCTAATGGCTCCTGCTGTGAGAAGTTGCTGGGTGCTTCTCTGTCCCTCACTGGTCCATTCTCCTATCCCCACCCCCATCTCTGTGTATAGTCCCTTCATCAGACTCTCTTCCATTAAACTTTTGAAAGTGCTGGCGACTTCATTCTGGGTCCCTGGCTCATCACCTTCCCTCTTAAGTCCAGTCTCTAAGTCAGAATCCTGTGAGTCTTTGAGCTTTCCAATTCCCCCTTCTCCCTGCAGACTTTCTAACTCCTGGAACTGTGTCTTTTCTTCACCCCCAGGGTGTCTACATGGCCCAAGCCTGGGTCCTGGATGCCAGTTAGTGCCTGTTCCCTCCCCACTCACTCTCCCCAGAAACATACATCTTTGCTTGGCTAGCACTCAATCAATGAACCCTTCCAATGAGCCTCATAAAATAGCATCTCCCAGTCCCACACTATCATTCATTCTTATTCTCCTTTAAAAAAGTTTATTGTGGTAAAATATTCATGACATCAATTGGCCATTCTAAGTGTTTACAGTTCAGTGGTGTTAAGTATATTCACATTGTTGTACAACCATCGTCCAAACCCAAGCTGAAACTCTACCCATCAAACTCCCTGGTACCCACTGTTCTACTCTCTGTCCCTGTGAATCTGACAACTCTGGGGACCTCATGTCAGTGGAATCATACAGTGTTTGTCTTTTAGTGACTGCCTTATTTCACTCAGCAGAATGTCCTCAAGTTTCTTCCATGTAGTAGCATCAATGGACTTTTGGGTTGTTGCCACTTTTTGGCTATTGTAAATAATGCCACAGTGAACATGCGTGCACAGATGTCTGAGTCCCTGCTTTCAATTCTTTGGATTCATACCTAGATGGAATTATTGGATTATATGGTAATTCTCGGTTTAATTTTTTCAGGAACCACCATGCTGTTTTCTATAGCAGGAAAGACCCTGAGAGGAGAGGCCGGGCTGGGCCAGGCCCTGGTGCTTCACTCCCCAAAGTTCCAAGGCCCAGAGAAGGACTTACAGTGGCTTTGACCTCAGAATTGGCCCTGCCCTTTCTCTCTTATGGTTTCTGGGTGGCTCAAATGGTAAAGAATCCACCTGCAATGCAGGAGACCCAGGTTCAATACATGGGTTGGGAAGATCCTCTGGAGAAGGGAATGGCTACCCACTCCAGTAACCTTGCCTGAAGAATTCCACGCACAGAGAAGCCTAGCGGGCTACAACCCACGGGGTCACAGAGTCAGACATGACTGAGTTACTAACATTTTCTCTTTTACTCTGCCCTGTCTCTGACACCCTCTCTCTGTGCCAAGCTGCGTCTGGAATGTGAATTCCATGACGGTGGGGCTGTGTTGTGCCCATCTCCCATTACCCACTCTAGCCTGGAGGGGGCAAGAATCATTGCTTACTGAGTTGAGTTGTCTGATTTTCTGTCTATCTCCAAGCTGCTCTCTGTTCCCCACGCCCATCTCCCACTTTAGTTTTTTGTTTGTTTGTCTCTCTACTCTTCAAACAATGGAGTCTTCCCTTTCTCTCTGGGTCTGCCGTGTCTCTTTCCATTTATCTTTCTGGACGATGTGACGTAGATGAGCCTCCTGGGGGCACTTGACTTAGGAGTCAGCCCCCTCCCTTCTGGCGCTTCTCAGAGCGTTTCTTCCACTCTCTGCATCGAAACCACCTTAAGTGCTGTTGAATGTGTTGGTATCAGAGTCTCTCTCCAGACCTACTCTAATGTGTCTACTGCTGTGTAACAAACACTCCAAAGCTTAATGACTCAAAACAACAACCCATATTTCACAAGTTTGTGGGTCAGAAATTTGGGCAGTTCTTGACTACAGGGTTCTTCTACTCCACGAGGCATTAAATGGGGACACTGGGTGGTTTTCAGCTGATGGGTGGGTTGTGGACTGGAAGGTCCAGAATGCCTTCATTCACACGTCTGGGACCCTGGTGGGGATGGCTGGCAGGGCTGAGCTCAGCTTGACTCCTCTCCTTCTGTGAGTCATCTCAGGATTCTCCATATGGTGTCTCCAGCAGAGTCGTCAGACTTCTTACACAGCGGGTGAGGGCTCTGAGAACAAGTGTTCCAAAAGATAGGAAGAAGAAATTAGAGAGGAAGTAGAAATGAACTGAACTTCTAAGGCAGGTCAAGGCTCAGCAGACACAACATCACTTTCCCCATTTTCTACTCGTCAAAGCAGCTACAGAGTCCACTCCGTTTAAAGTAGTGCTTCCACAGACTTCCCTGGTGGTCCAGTGGTTAAGAATCTGCCTGCCCATGCAGGGGACATGGGTTCAATCACTGGTCCAGGAACTAGGATCCAACAGGTGCATGCATGCTCAGTCGTGTCTGACTCTTTGCCACTGTATGGACTGTAGCCTGTAAGGCTCCTCTGTCTGTGGGGTTTTCTAGGCAAGAATACTGAGTGGGTGGCCATCTCCTACTCCAGGGGATCTTTCCTACCCAGGGATCAAACCCACATCTCCTGCGTCTTTTGCATTGGCAGGCGGATTCTTTACCACTGAGCCACCTGGAAAACCCCGAGAACCCGCATGCTGCAGGGCAACTACGCCTGTGCGCCGTAAGCGCTGAGCCTGTGCGCTGCAACAAGAGAAACCATCACAGTGAGAAGCCCACACACCGCAGCTACAGAGGAGCCCCTGCTTGCAGCAACTAGAGAAAGCCCAGGCTTTCCAGCAGCAGCGAAGAACCAGCGTGGCCAAAAAGAAATAAATAAAGATTAAGTGGTGGTGCTTCCTCACTCAGCCACAGGTAGGGGGCAGAGATCGCCCCTCGTGA